TCATTTTCATACAAAGGTCTATCCACAGACACCGATACGACCTCCCGTGGATATCTTGATTCTTGTATCGACAGATGGCAATTTTAATCCGTGGATTGGTTATTGGCACACTTGTTACAACATTTGTTACAAGTTTACTACCTCAGATGGTGGATTGTGGATTGAGATAGGTTATTGGATTCGGGCGTAAGTCTATAATAATTATGATGAGACAGCGATATATAGTGTATTAAGAGTGTACTTATGTACGCGCGTAAGAAGTTATACTTCTTTGGCATTATTAAAAATAGTTTTTGATTGCATGCGAATAATTAATTACAATTAAATAATCAAAGACTGGAAAAGGAGTCATTATAGTCAATAAAGTTCAGTTTACATTTGAAAAATTAAATAAATAAATATTTATTAATATTATATTTATTATTATTTTCTAATATTAATTAGTATTTATTTAAATATTCAATTTAAATCACTTCTGATTATAATTCAGACGCACATATAAAATTCGCACTTGTATAATGAAAATACGTGTTTTAAATGTAGAAACTCAAAGCATGTGGATATTATAAATATAAATACACAGTGAACAGAGGCGGCTGTTAATTTTGTGTCACGGTGCGCGCGCATCGTAAAATTTCACTCTCATAAATTCTTCATAACGCGCCTAAATAAGTATAACTTCAAAAATATACCGACATATTTTTCGGTTACACGTCAAACTTCACAAACAACAAATCTTGCAACTAATCAATAATCCGAAATCGCAGGACGCAGAATCAAGTTGTCAAACTGTGTGGTACAGTATGAACTAAAATTATTGAATACCAAGTACAAATTGCTTGATCGATCGCAGGTTAATTCCGATTTATTCAAAATTTTGAAATGGAATCTCGCGAGAAAAAGCCTTCTGACTTCATCAAATTTAACTTTATTTAACCAATTTTTGTAAAGTTGAATATAGTAGATAATTTTTCGAAAAATAAGGTCATAAAAAAGTTTCACTTACGTGTGTACACTAGTTCACGCACACATTTTTGTTAATAGTTACGTCCTCAATTTATAATTTTATAGTCGGTGTTTTGTGCGTTTTGTGAACGTGCAAAGTATCAGTATATGGGGGCCTCATAGCCTAGCGGACTTATTAAGTGGCTAGGTGAGGGGTACCGGGTTCGATTTCCGGTTCGAGGGCAAGTTTTAATTTAATTTAAATTTGTTATCGGCCTTAGAAAGGGTTGTACGGTACCGGAGTGCCTAAACCGTACATGGAGGACACGGTCGAATTTCTAAAGGCAAGCACGAATTATAAAAAATCGTGCCAGAGCCATAAAAAAAAATAAGTATCAGTATCAGTCTAACCTCTTTGTTCCCAAATTACAGATTCTTCAAATCCTTACGACTGACAATATTGTGTGCCTTTCTTGGTAAGGAGAAATTGTAACGAGGCATTAGCTTATATTGTTGTTTGATGAATTGCTATTTTAAAAGAGTAGGTACCTAGGGTTTTTTACGCCGGCTTTTTCTCTCGGCCTACAACCTCTGTCTTCTTTGCCGATGAGTAGGGACGTCTACCGATTCAAATTTAACGACGTGGAATAAGTGATATCTTATATTCCATAATAAATATATTTTATTTTATTTATTTTCCCGTTCCTAGGGCATCCATACTACTGAATTCAACTCGACACCCGTAACAAGTGCAGTATAAAGCATCATTTAAAGTTGAGTTTTGCAAAAAGTAAAAAAATCATTTAATCATATAATTAACATAATATACACTTATGACTCGTCAGTATAGAAATACATATTAATGCTTCTAATTTTACATTTACTGCTAGTTCTCAAATTAAGGGCGTAGAACGGAAGAGAAGAACTGGCAATAAACTCTCCGCCACTCTTTTTAATCGCCATCTTTTTTTTACACAACGTTTGTAAGGAGCTGCAACCATTACGCCATGTTCCACATGACATATTAAGTAATTAATAATAAAAACATAAATTAAAAAAAAAACAAAGACTTGTCCTCTATCAGCAGGAGGCATGGTGAAATAGGAGCACGCACTTACATTCTCGTGGGAACAACACGCATTGCTCTGTCTTAGAATTCATTAGAATAACGTAGAACAGGTATGTTCGAGAAAAGTAAGACTTGGCACAAAGATTACTCCTATTTCACGGTATCGATTACACTGTTACCTCTTTTGTAAGTATCGATGTTTAGGAGAGCTAGAAAACCACACCCAACCACACGAGCGCGCACCTTCTGGCATTGAGAGTTGGCGGCGGTATCACTTAAGACCAGATGACTAACATAATAAACTAGTGGACCCCACAGACGTTGTCCTGCATGATATTTGAAGCGATTAGGATATTTAATAAAATATGAAAGTACCGACTGCAGCGTTATCTGCCGGGCTAACTTGTGAATCAAAACCATCCAGGGCTCCACCCAAACGCATACAAAAAAAATCATTCAAATCCGTCCAGCCGTTGAAGAGGAGTTCAGTGACATATACACGTACTGTAGATTTATATATATATATATATATATATATATATATATATATATATATATATATATGTATGCTTTCCTATGTTTAAGTTAGATCAAATTGCACACGGTGTGCTAATTTGATTAAAATCGGTTAAGTAGTTTAGAAGTTCATAGCAGTCAAACAACGTGACGCGTAATTTATACATATATACTAGCTGATCCGGCAAACGTCGTTTTGCCATGTACTCGTATATCATTTATAATAAAAAATAGGGGTTGGTGATAGAAGGGCAAAAACTTAGGGTTGTATGTATTTTTGAATATCGTATTTTTGAATATTTTGTCAAAAAAATGAAAAAAAAAAAAATTGAGGGGTGGACCACCCTTATTATTTAGGGGTGTGAAAAATAGATGTTAGCCGATTCTCAGACCTACCCAATATGCTTACCAAATTTCAGAGGAATCGGTCAAGCCGTTTCGGAGGAGTATGCAGACTAACATTGTGACACGAGAATTTTATATATAAGATATATATTAAGACTAGCGGACCTGCTGACCTGGCAAACGTCGTTTTGCATTGTATATCAATTATAATAAAAAATAGGGGTTGAACGTAGAGGGGTGAAAATTAGGGGTTGTATGTATTTTTTAATGTTGTATCATAAAAAAATAAAAAATAAGTAATTTATCTAAAAATTTAAAAAAATAATTTAGGGGTGGACTACCCTTAACATTTAGGGGGATGAAAAATAGATGTTGTCCGATTCTCAGACATACACAATAAGCACACAAAATTTCATGACAATCGGTCAAGCCGTTTCGGAGGAGTATGGCAACGAAAACTGTGACACGAGAATTTTATATATTAGATAGAAAAATAAATTGTGCGTGTACTAGGTGTACACACGTAAGAAGTGAAACTTCTTTATGATCTTATTTTTCGAAAAATGATCTACTATATGCAACTTAACAGAAATTCGTTAAATTAGATAAAGTTTAACAAAAGGCTTTTATTATCATAGACATGAATACAAATATTTCATTTTACCTTATTACTACGAAGATTATTATAGAATTTCATTAATTGTAATAGAATTATTACTATCATTGAAAAACGTGACGATTTGCTACAAAATTTCTCCCATACGTCGATAAAGAAGTTTCATTCCAACGCCGATAAAGAAGTTTGACTTCAAAAAGCAACATGACGCGTAACGAAAAAATGTTACACTAAATTTTTTTCCAACCTCGATAAAGAAGTTTCACTTCAATATACATAGAATACTCCACTGATTTAAAGCTGTGTTTGGATCGCAAAATGTCAGGGTTGGAAATTCCTTATTAGATTATTTGTTGACCTTGACTTTAGTTTGAACATGTTTTACTCAGTATACAGTTTGACTTCACACAGTGCAGCGGCGTAATCAAGCTATGAGGTCAGTGATTATCAATTTACGGTCACATTTTTCCTTGTAGAAAAACCCGTTATACCGCAATAGCTTGTAAATATATTATCCTTAAAATTTAAATTGTATTAAAATAGTAATTAAAATATTAATTACTATTTTAATTTAATTTATTAATTTAACTGCAGATGTAAAAACTCATCAGATGTAATCAGATTTGAGTAAAGTTCTTGTTCTTGTCTTGCAAAACACGCAAAACAAACTTAATTTTATTATGCTAAAGTAAATAATTACTTTGCATAGATTTCATCTGAGTCATACCAATTTTGTTAATAAATAAACGAATATACGAAAATTATTGACACCATTTTGCATACATAAAATATAGGAGTATGTACGCGCTTTTTAAACTTTTCAAACACACACAGAAACACAAAATAAAAATATTAATCAAAAAAATAACAAAAAATTATTTTGAAGAATATGGTGCATTTTTAGTGTGTAATATCTGTTTTGTGGTTGTAACAGGCCCTGGCTCAGCATTATGCTATGGAGCAGACGTGCTCCTCAGACGCAAAAAAGGAAAATAATTTTAGAATACCCGTGATTCACGTCAAAAGATAGTTTGTTTAAAGTTGCATAGACGCTAATTTGTAATGTGAGGAAACATTGACTTTTAAAAATACTTTAAGATAAATCACTCTTAAAACGTCAAAATTCAAAATCAATATTCATATAGGTAACACAATGTACACTTATGAACGTCAAAATAGAAATATACATTAAATGCGTCTAATTTTACATTTACTGCCTATTCTCAAATCAAGGGCGTAGAACGGAAGAGAAGAACGGTCAACAAACTCCCCGCCTCTCTTTTTAATCGCCAAGTTTTTTGTATTACACAACGTTTGTAAGGAGCTGCAACCATTACACCATATTACACATGACATCTTAAGTAGTAAATAATAATAAAATAAATTAAAAACAAAGATTTGTACAGCCCATGTTCTTATGTTTTCAGGTTCATACTGTTTATTTTCCTCTTTCCCCTGATTTACTGCAATTCAATAGATGATTTGACAGATAAATGGATAACAGGTCAGATGAATAGCGCGAAAACAAATAACAATAGGCGTAGCGGACCTGACTTGACACCTAGTAGGAAACTTGATTTGTCACCTAAGCGGGAATCGAAGCCGTCATCAGTTCGAAAGCCACCCAACCTTCAACCGAGTGAGAGTAAGTAATAAAAATCGGTGAGCCGTATTAGTTTAGTTTAAATTTATTTTTGACAATGCAAAAACTAATGTAGTGTTGTTCTGAGTGCGACTCTCATCCTTGAGATTGCAGGTTCAATCCCTGTGCACCACTTTCTATGTGCGCATTTAATATTCGCACGAACGGTGAAGGAAAACATCGTGACCTTTCCTTAGTGCCAAAAAATCGACTGGGTGTGTCGGGCACAGGAGGCTGATTACTTGACTATTAGATTGACAAATGATCATGAAATACATACAGAAATCCGAGGCCCAGACCTAAAAGGTCAGAACCACTGATTTATATATTTTATTTGAAAACCAAATTAATAATAAATTTGCGGTTATGTCCGTAAAAAAATTAATTGTGCTGTGCTCGCATTTACCAAATACAAGACAGAGAAAATGAATACATAGATGAACGATCTATCTATCTATTCTGATACAATAGCTTTTTCGAAACAGACCAAGTACTTGGTTGCAGATGTAGCGACAAGAAATCACGCTAAGAAAGTGTTACCAACCGCTGAACATATTTGCAACACTTCGACATCAGTCACTGGTGCCTTAGGGCGAGTCAGTGGTTAGATCTGTCGAGGAACAGCCTTGCGATTCTGTAACTCACTTTTCGAACTCACACAGCGGTTTTCACAGCGGCGGTCGCGCTCAAATCAGTCGTAAAGCAGTCATTTTATGATTTGACATTCTGGTAAACAATAAAAGAGGGAGAGAAAAAGCTGTGAGAATTCGAAAAGTGAGTTACAGAATTGCAGTACAGTACAGTATAGCCATAAATCGTATTCTTTCAGAAGTGGGCAGAACTTGTGTGACTAAAAACAATGCCAATGGAGAATGTGTGTCGTATTTTCTGTGTGATGAAAACAGTATTATAATTGACGATGGAGCTGATCTTCTTGATTTGAGGTGAGTCAATCTTGAGAGCGTGCTAAAAATCCAATTTTTGAATCATTATTTAATCTTGGTGGTCCTCTCGAATTTACTTAAATATTAGCTATGATTTTACTATACACACAAAGGGGCCGATCAAGTATTACGTCGTATCAGCAAAGGTACCTAAGCTAAACTCACAAAAATAATAGTACTCATATAAAACTTTGCAGTTTTTGTAGGAATCCTCGAAAATACATTTCGTTTTCAAGCATAGACAATGTGTAAAAAAGTAAATAATTCCTGTTGACGTAATTACCAAAAAAGAAGACCCCGTACCCCCTATAGTACTTACGTAATACTTGAACGACCCCAAAGTAGAAATAGAACGTATTTTACAATTTCTGGTTCAGGATACTTTAAATAATTTTCACTATTTATTCGCACTCGCATACTTGATATATCAAACTTGGTGTTTTGTAATATCCGCTGTAAAGAGGTGACTGGTGAATTTGGATGGCATCAGTAATTACACTCGCCAGAAAACCGTATAAAAATATTTTTAATTTGATTTCCAGAGACGGCAGCAAAAGCTGCAGTCACTATTTAGAAGTTTGCTGTGAACTCGGTAATATACAAGACAGTGGCGAGAACACAGCCTCCGTAGAGATTTCTAACGAAGATACTTTCGAAAGTGCTCCTATCATACCAAACCCAGCGACTCCAAACATACAAACTCCACAGTTAAACCGCCCAATTTCCCAACGTCCCTTAGCAATGCCCACCAATCCTTTAGCTAAACCATCCATCTTATCCAGTCCTGATGCGAATGAGAGTAAAAGTAAGTACATAATTATTCTTTGGTTTTTCATTATTTCAAACATAAAAGCTATCTTTTAAATGCAAATTAAGAAAGAGGTTGATTCAGAAAAATTAACGAAATCATAAGAAGCTGACAGAATGTTCCCACATTTTTTGACAGTTGCTGCGTTTCTTGCCTTTCGCGTAAAAACCGTAGGTATTATATATTTCTTGATCTACCTATGAACTACTGTATTTCCAGTATAAGTCCGAGTGTGGGAAGCAAAGAAAGTCTCGTATTGTATAGTACTCATGTAATTAGTATAATTTTCAAGGAAGCTATGCAAGAATAAAATCCAGTGTCACATGACGTATAAGATTCAATATATCTAATTATAGAATTGTTTGTTTAATTAATGATTTTATTTGAGACCTATTTCATCCTCCAAGTCGAGTCGAGCAGCTCGTACCAGCCTTTTCTCGTAGCAGTTCTGGCAATTTTAGACCCCCTATAACTTCGTTGAGGATAAAACTAGAAGCCACGGTATCTTTATCTGGTTGTCACTCACTGACTGACTTATCCATCATCAAAACTTCAAGGCGCTTCTAATACATGGAATATTAAAAAAACTTAAAAGATTTTTAATTCACAAAATCAAATATTTGAAATACAAATAGGTACGTATTTTAAAAACAATTGCTCCTATAACATTAAAATCACAATATAAAGAGGACTACAGAAAGATTATTGCATTTTTCAAAATTATATCTATACTATAGAAGGTGCAGCTCGGATTATTAAATGAAAACTACTTTACAGAGAATTACCTTTTAACTCTTTAAAACTCACCATCACTATTCAACACGTAGCAATTTAAAAAAAATATTCTAATATGGGAAAAAACATTAGACTATCTTATTCCAAATTTAATAAACGCACTAATCTGCACTTCTTACTAATATAACAAGTAACAATATTAAATTTAAATCAAACAATTATAAATTATGCATAATAAACATTATGCTAATCAGACATCATCTTCATTTAATTCTTATTCGAATATGGGAATACATGCTGTATTCGAATGAGAATTCTCGTCAAGAACAGCCTTGCGATTCTGTAACTCACTTTTCGAACTCTCACAGCGGTTTTAACAGTGACGGTCACGCTCAAATCAGTCGTAAAGCAGTAATTTTACGATTTGGCATTCTGATAAGGAGGGAGCTATTGTTTTGAGTTACAGAATCGCAAGGCAGGTCTCTTGCGTCGGCTAACTGTGGACCGTCAATGTTTCAATTAGTTTGTGGCGTTTTACGTACAATTTTAATGGTTATAATGTTATAGTGTATATTGTTCTCACCTCTGGGGGGTAGCTCCCCACTACCAGCCCCTACCACGTATACAATGGTGTTGCGTAGAGATGTGGGGTCTCTCTGCATCTTCTACCGCATTTACTACCGAGTGTGTTCAGAAGAGAGTTTGGATAAATATCTGTATCTATCTAGTTCTATTATATCTTATATATTTATTGGCAAACCCACCTGGGCCCCATCAGCTAAATCTGTTTTTTTTTAAAGTAAAAAAAATTTGTTTTCACACAGTATCAAGATCTGAATGTGGCTGGAGTTATATAGAAAAAAGCCCATACAAACCGAAAAATACCGCTTTTCGACCCACCAACATTACCAGTGCATTTTATGGCGAATATCCATTCGTGGTCGCTGTTATGTTGTAAGTATTATTTAAAGTCACTGCGGAGAGTTTTTGACCTTGACTTTGACTAACTTTCGTATCATCTTTTTATGTATCTTTTGTCTAATAAAATAATCCGGCTCGAAGGACCAAAATGTACGGTTTTTGGGTCATCGGTGTGCTTTAAATAAAAGAGGATTTTAGTTTTACTCTGTATTAACCACTCGCGTATAACAATAGAAAATAAGCGAACTAATGAAATGTTAATTGCTATGAAACGAACGTATTGGTCTAAGATCCCGCTATACAACGACCTTCACCGAGATGCTTATTTAATGAAACTTATTTTATATATAATTTAATATGTCAATAAATATAATCCATATGGGTTGCCTAGCAAATTTCAGTCCAGAGTATTTTTAATTAATTTAAAAAAAAAATATTTTTTTAAACATTTCACCGGTATGATTATTAGATAAATTCTATACCAATCGAAAGTATGAAGCCCATAGAATATGCAAAAGTTAGGTTGTTTTTAATCAATTACTTATTTATGTGTATATTTTTTATGTGACACTAAAGTATATATACATCTTTAGTATAAAATAAGGTTATAGTGATACATATATAATACTACCCTGATTAAAAATATTGATTGAAAAAAGTTCAAAAAATTTACTACATGCTAATTATAAAAAAAAATTTTTTTTTAAATATTAATTAAACATACTCTGGACTGAAATTTGCTAGGCAACCCATATGGATTATATTTATTGACATATTAAATTAAATATAAAATAAGTTTCATTAAATAAGCATCTCGGTGAAGGTCGTTGTATAGCGGGATCTTATACTATATGTAATGTAACAGTCGAAGAGAGAGCCTACTTCGGGCTATACTCTCGGGGCGTAACTTCGACGATTTAGGAAAACGCCACGCTTATAAAACTAAGAAAGCCCCTTAGAGTCAGTTGTCAGAACAGAGTGTCTCCAATGTCTTACTAATCGGCTTGATTCTCTCTCGCTACGCAGAGACATTTCGTCTCTTTGCGTTTTTTACAAAGTTTACTACGGAGAGTGTTTGCAAGAATTGTTTGGGTTGATCCCTCCTGCCTTTTTCAACACCGTACGAGCCGTACGACCTCTAAATTTCACCAACATCATCTTGATGGTTGGAGGTCTTCCACAGTCCGTTTCACAAGGCATTTTCTTTTGCGAACTAGCGAACTGTGGAATCGACTCCCTTCTTCCCTCAGAGATACGACCTCCAAATGTTTAAAAAGCAAGTCTACTCCTCCCTCAAAGGCCGGCAACGCACCCACTAAATATGGGTGTCTATGGGCTGCGTAGACTGCCCTTTTTGGTCGTCCCGCAAGCTCGTTTGCCCCCCTATTATATAAAAAAAAAAAAAGATCCTTTCACTGTCTATATACGTTTGAATCACTTTGGTTTGATCCATTCTTTCTGCCTCAGTAATTGTACATCTTATGTAGTTATGCACTTCTTGCATTCACCCTATTTAATCTTTTTTATAGTGGTTATGTATGTTTTTTTACTATAGCTAATTAACTATTAATTACTTAAGATGTCTTGTAGAACATGGTGTAATGGTTGCAGCTCCTTACAAACATTGTGTAAAACAAAAAAACTTGGCGATTAAAAAGAGTGATGGAAAGTTGCCAGTTCTTCTCTTCCGTTCGACGCGCTTAATTTAAGAACTGGCAGTAAATGTAAAGTTAGAAGCATTTAATATATATTTCTTTTTTGACGTTCATAAGTGTACACCCCCCTTCCCCAAACCCCCCAATTCGTGCGACGAAATTCACAAATTTCAATATCGTGTGACTACAATTTCCCATCTACTTCCAGTTGCTAAGTAGTATTTATTTATTTTTTATATGTTTACACAAAACTTTATTTTTTTTAAGTTCCAGTTGCTAAGTAGTATTTATTTATTTTTTATATGTTTACACTTCGTTGCAGCAATACAGAAATACAGTAGAATTAAAATAATTGAAAAAAAAGTGAACAAAAGAAGGGCCACTGGCGGACTTATCGCTTTCAAGCGATCTTTTCCATGTAACTGTCACCGTAAAATTGTAAACACCGTTAGATTGTAATCTATCTCGCGAGATTGTAAACTGTCGAAATATTGTCAACTCAACGTACTGCTTACAATTTAACGTATTATTATTCGGTAGATTGTAATCTATCGAAGTGAAACTGTCAAATTGTGAAACGGATCGCACCTCGCGCGCTGATTGGTTGAACGGAATATGCCCCGCGCCACCATATTTGTTTGTTAATTCGTTTGTTGTCGAATGTAAATTGATTGTTTTGATGAATGTAAATTGATGTCGTGTTGAAAGTAACTCACAGCTTTAGAATTAGTTATATGAAATTGTTGGGAAGTAAAATTAATCTGTGATTGACCAAAGAAGTTTGAATGATAACTAAGTTATTGTTGGAAATGAAATGAAAGAAAATTTATTTACTTTTTCAATTTTAATGTATGTTTGAGGAGAAAATATTGTTACGTTTCAGATTTTTTATTTTGATTTAAAAAAAATTACCATGTTGTCAGAATTATTGATTCTAAGTAATTAATAAATACTGGATATCACAATTCTTGAAGTGCATTCAGTTTATTTGACTGATACCCGTGTTTCATTCCTAACTCTATGGACATAGAACGGTCTACTATAAAGCCGACCAATCAGGGACAGCCTTCGGACAGTTAACAGTTTGACAATTTTAAGATTGTAATTTGACGGTTTCACTTCGATAGATTACAATCTACCGAATAATAATACGTTAAATTGTAAGCAGTACGTAGAGTTCACAATCTTTCGACAGTTTACAATCTTGCGAGATAGATTACAATCTAACGGTGTTTACAATTTTACGGTGACAGTTACATGGAAAAGATCGCTTGAAAGCGATAAGTCCGCCAGTGGCCCTTCTTTTGTTCACTTTTTTTCAATTATTTTAATTCTACTGTATTTCTGTATTGCTACAACGAAGTGTAAACATATAAAAAATAAATAAATACTACTTAGTAACTGGAACTTAAAAAAAATAAAGTTTTGTGTAAACATATAAAAAATAAATAAATACTACTTAGCAACTGGAAGTAGATGGGAAATTGTAGTGACACGATATTGAAATTTGTGAATTTCGTCGCACGAATTGGGGGTTTGGGGGAGGGGGTGTACACTTATGAACGTCATAAAAGAAATATATATTAAATGCTTCTAACTTTACATTTACTGCCAGTTCTTAAATTAAGCGCGTCGAACGGAAGAGAAGAACTGGCAACTTTCCATCACTCTTTTTAATCGCCAAGTTTTTTTGTTTTACACAATGTTTGTAAGGAGCTGCAACCATTACACCATGTTCTACAAGACATCTTAAGTAATTAATAGTTAATTAGTTATAATAAAAAAAACAGATTTGGCCTCTTTTAGCAGGAGGCGTGGTTAAATATGAGCACGTACGTTGTCGAGGGAACAACATGCAAAAACAAACAAACAAAAAGTAAAAACAATTTACTTTTCTACTACTATACATTTAAATAAAATATTTAATTTGTACATCCGATAAACGCGAATTAATTCTTTATTCAATTCACATTGACATTTGACTATTTGATATGATTTAACATTTAAATATTGTCAAATTAACGCCATCTATTGCTAGGAATTTTAGTTTCATTAATTTTCCTATTTCTTGTTTCAATCCTTAAATAAATTGACCTTATTTACAGGAGAGGCGATAGTGACGTTTGGTCGTCAAAATATTACATCGGCGGCGGCGCTTTAATACACCATAGAGCCGTTTTAACAACCGCTCATGGTATTGATAAGCTAAAAGCCGATCAGGTAAGGTTCCTAAAGTTAGTAAGCTTGTAAGAGAATGTAAAAAGGCGTTTCGACGGCGCGTTCTGTAAGCTGTAAGCTGCGGTGAATGCCCTGCTGGGTTAACTTTTTCCTTCTTTTTTTTAATTGATCATACAATCACTCCTATCTTTGTGGTATGACTCCCAGATAAAACAATTTTTTTGTTTTTTTAGTATTTTTTTAAATTAATTTTGTGCTCTGGTATGCCTATTTTCTTACGCGTTTACTTAAACAACCTTGCGGACACTGCCCTCTATTGACAAATGTTGTTTTTTCAAGTATATGATATTCCTATTTAAAATGAAATATCAAATATTGATTTAGTTATTATAAATTGAAAGAAAATCTAATAAATTGTTCACTACTGAGGATCGAACTCGAACCCTATGAATGAGTCGCCGTCACTTAAACCCATTTGACCAAATATCTTTTCTAACAACGTTGAAAATGCTGTACTAGTTACACGCGTCACAGACACTGAATGAGTCAGAGTTGTACCAAGTCTTGACACGTGTACCGTTACTTTTTTGCACAAATTAGTTCACTTCACTATTTCACTTTAGCTTTGTTCTTAGTTTATATGTTGAGCACTGCACAATTCCTGCACTTTAAGGTGTTCCTTTCACCATTATTTAACTCGAAACGTCACTCGAATAAAGCGTTGTGATTTTGGGAATTACTATTGATTTTAGAATATTTCCGGGTGAAATAACATTTACACTATTTTATGTCGTGATATTACAACACTTTTTGTAGTTATCAAACGATATGAATACATGTATGATTTTAAAAATACAAAGAATTCAAATTCAAAATTCATTTAATCATATAGGTAACACATTGTACACTTCTGACTATTGTCAGTAAAGAAATACATATTAATGCTTCTAATTTTACATTTAGTGCCAGTGCTCAAATCAAGGGCGTAGAATGGAAGAGAAGAACTGGCAATAAACTCTTTTTAATCGCCATGTTTTTTTTTACACAACGTTTGTAAGGAGCTGCAACCATTAAACCATGTTCCATCTTAAGTAATTAATAATAATAACATAAATTAAAAACAAAGAGTCGTCCTCTATCAGCAGGAGGCATGGTGAAATAGGAGCACGCACTTACATTCTCGTGGGAACAACACGCAAACACATAGTCGAAATAATTAATTATGTTTATTATGGAATATAAGATACCGGTTCACCTAGTCCATGTCATTAAATTAAATCGGTAGACATCCCTTCTAATCGGCAAAGAAGACAGAGGGTGTAGGCCGAGAGAAAAAGCCGGCGTAGAAAACTCTCAGTACTCTTTCAACATTCGCTCGAACGGTGAAGGAAAACATCGTGAGGAAACCGGCTTACCTTAGACCCAAAAAACGTCGACGGCGTGTCAGGCAAAGAAGGCTGATCACCTACTTGCCTATTAGTTGACAAATAATCATGAAACAGATACAGAAATCTGAGGCCCGGACCTTTTTAAGGTTGTAGCGCCACTGATTTTTTTATTTATTTTACTCTTTTAAAATAGCAAATCATCATACAAAATGACAATGTCAAACAACACTTATTTTAAAAACAAATATCGCAAAGTAATTAGAATAACTTAGGGTAAATATCAAGGATCCTATTTAGTTTATAGCTGTTCATTAGCATCATGAGTGAGGACACGAGATACGTCATATTACGTCCGTCACAATCATACGTAACTTTTTGTGTACATTTTAAATTCTCACCCAATCGGGGGACAATTGGAAAAGCTTCCAGATGTAAATTATAGAAGCTGGTGACAAAGGGTCATTTTATGAACGCTGGCTGCACGCACGAAAAAGCATGACCCATTGTCCCGTTACGCTCATTGTACGCTTGCGCCTCATCTATCCTTCTTCGACTAAGTATGCGATCATTTCATCAATGTTTTGTTATGAAGTTGTTACGTCAAACTATCGTCTGTAAACCGACTTCACAGACAATGATAATTCTTACTGAAAAATAAAAGCCAAGTTTAGGTCGACGGAGTCCTGTAGTTGTATATATAAGTTTAGAATTTAAAATAGTCAGCGTAATGGTAAGTTTGAAATGCACTGGCAGAAAGAAACGTCCATTTACGGACAGCCGGGGTTTAACCCACGCCTTCAGTGGTGGAGTCACTACTCAAGTCCACACTTTTAATTAGTTTTATTGCTTTGGAAACATTTACAGGCCTGATGACCTGTTACATAGGTACTCTTACCTTTAGCAAGTATCAGTCTCACACAAACTAGCGTTTTTCCTAAATAGAAGAAAGACAATTATTTATTTATATTAATATATGACTGTCACTTGTTTATGTACTAAGTTTTGTGAGAAAAATTAATAAAGATTGTCCTGCTTCTTGGAGTGTTTCACGGCTCACCAACACCACAACACTTGTACAAACGTCCTACACACAACCGCTCCGTTCGGGTGTCGGTTTACGACTGACAGTCTGACAAGTGACGTAGGCGCATGAGACAACCAAGCAACAATTTATTTAGTCAATATGTTACTGTAAAAGCTCGAACTACGGTTAATCTTAAGATTTAAGTGTAAGTCTTAGGATACCGTACCGAGTTGGTAAATGTAAGTATTTCTGAAAATACGACGATTTTTTCGAGCTTTTACCATTCGAATTCAGTATATGCTAGGTTTTACCACTGTCAGCTGGTAGATGTTGGTTTTAGGAATAAAACAATGTGTAATTCTTAATTATTTACTTTAATGAACTATTAGACAAAACAGATACATAGTATTATAAAGGTATCATATGATAGTAATAAGTACAAACTAATACCAACTTATTTAAATTATTTTGAAAAACACATAACGTATATCTCTGAATATCTCAATCTCTATCATATCTATCTAACTGAATCAGTAGTTCGCTATTTGGAATTTAACAACGAAATACAAACATAATGCTTACATAAGCTAGTCGAACTTAATAATTATTTTTGTTTTTCAACATTTACCGTGCCATTAATGTAAATCCTAAGTTTTACCAACGGAATGGTGGTAAGAGTTCGAATCGCAAACCTTTTGGGACATTTACCATTAGGAATTGGTAGATCTTAGGTTTTACTGGAATATCTTAGGATTTACTGCTGTTCGAGCTTTTACAGTAACAAATACACTACAAAGATTATTATTATTATTTTCAGTTGAAATGCCGCGCTGGCGAATATGACGTGCAAACAGTGAAAGAGCAATATCCCCACCAAGATAGGAATGTCAATAAAATTATTATACACGAAAACTACTACAGAAGTATGTATTAAAATGTTATTTTATTTTTTAGTTAATAGTGGTGAAGTGGGAACATACATAATGTTTTTCCGTCCACCAGTGCCTCGAACAATTTACAACTTATTTACTAGGACGAATTATATTATATAACATAAAAATAATAAATTTTGTGCAATCAGACGATTCGCTACCAATGTATGGGGCATTTACCGCCCGACTCCAAAGAGAACTAAATCGAAATCGTATACAGTCAAACCTGGGTAAGTGAGAACTGGATAAGTGAGAAAACTCTAGAAGTGAGAGTAATAGCCGGGACCCGTCATTTTAAGCTCTCAAAACCTCTATTAGCGAGAAACAGAAACCTCTGTAAGAGAGAGTCGTTTTTCCCTCATGGACCTCCGTAAATGAGACTGCTACTTATCTATACCTCTATAAGCGACAGTCGAGTGTAACTTACACTTAATAAAATAAAATATATATTGTGCACATTATGCACATAATTTTATCATATTAGATATTTACTACATTCGTATTTGCCGTGACTTGATATTGCTGCGTACCTCTATAAGAGAGAAAAGCTACCCATGTACCTGCATTAGCGAGAAACTCGGGTTAGTGAGAAACCTTTATAAGCGAGAATGAGATTGTTCTCCCTTGAACACTCGCTTATCCAGGTTCGACTGTAGTGCTTTCTATATCAATACTAGCTGATCCGGCAAACGTCGTTTTGCCATGTATATCATTTATAATAAAAAAATAGGGGTTGATCGTACGGGTGAAAATTAGGGGTTGTACGTATTTTTTAATGCTTATAAAAAAATAAAAATGTATCTAAAAATAAAAAAAAGGGTGCGTATACTTATGTACGCGCGTAAGAAGTTATACTTCTTTGGCTTTCTTTTTTTTTTTTAAATATTAAATAATTAATAATAAATACTTAACGTTAATAATTTAATATTTAGTATATAATTATTATTATTTATTATTTATTATTAATTCAATTTAATAACTAGGTATGTTTCATAACCTTTTAACTAAGTAACAATAGGTCTTTGTGAAAAAGCTTTGCTAAATTTCTTTGAAAAAATAATTAAAACTCCTTTATTTGTTTAAAAGGTACTACAAATGTCATTATGGTCATTCAAAATTCTTAGCATAGCTGCTAACGTCACGCATATTCTATTTCTTTTTACTTGTAGATTGTCTCATTCCCATCTCGCTCGCGCACGCTCGGCGCCCGGCTGGTTTAAAAAGGATTTGTTAGTGGGCAACTTCATACTGATAATTTTGTGTCACGGTGCGCGCGCATCGTAAAATTTCACTCTCATCAATTTTTCATAACGCGCCTAAAGAAGTATAACTTCAAAAAAAAATAGGGGTGGACTACCCTTAACATTTAGGAGGATGAAAAATAGATGTTGTCCGATTCTCAGACATACCCAATATGCACACAAAATTTAATGAGAATCGGTCAAGCCGTTTCGGAGGAGTTTAACCACAAACACCGCGACACGAGAATTTTATATACTCGTATAAGACTAATTTTACTTTTGTGTGTATGTTTGTAATGTTTTCACACAAACACTACCGGATCGATTTTAAAAATTCTTTCACCATTAGAAAACTGCATCTTCACTGACTGACGTAAATATTACTTGTTCAAAAAATAGGGATCCCTAATAAAAATGCAATAATATAATCGTAGGTGGATATAATATAACCAAGAACGTTTTACCCATGGGCAATTGTATGTTGGGCTGTCCCGAGTCGGAACCCCAGAACATGAAATTATTTTGCTGCCGCAAAACATAATTACATCAAATGTTGTATAGGAAAGTTCTAAGACACTGAAGTTTAACAAATAAATCTCTCCTTTAATATTATAGGAGAATTATTTGCATTTTGAATTTTGTTTTTATTTTTTACAATTTCCAATAATAAAGCTCAAAATTCCTAGATTGATTAAAAAAATTATTTCATTACCTACTCGAAGTCAACAATTTTCCTATTATAGTATTTTTAAATTCACTAATATCGGACATTCTACGTAAATGTAAAAATCTCCTTTCTTGGCGAATCCTTTAAGGTCTCTGCAGTTAAGCTATGGAACTCACTTCCAGTCCCTATTGGCTTAGCTCCTTCTCTCTCTTCCTTCAAATTTCTTCTGTACAAACATTACCTGTCCACATCGTATCCCTAACTTTAATAATACCTACTAACTGACGTGAGACTGATCTTAAATTAAATTATAATGATTCATGTGCACTTTTTATTATTATTTTTTTTTCTCACAGTGGTTTTTTTTTTTTTTTTTTTTTATAGAACGGGGGCAAACGGGCAGGAGGCTCACCTGATGTTAAGTGATACCGCCGCCCATGGACACTCTCAATGCCAGAGGGCTCGCGAGTGCGTTGCCGGCCTTTTAAAAATTGGTACGCTCTTTTCTTGAAGGACCCTAAGTCGAATTGGTTCGGGAATACTTCAGTGGGCAGCTGGTTCCACATAGTGGTGGTGCGCGGCAAAAACTGCCTTGAGAAACGCTCAGTTGTGGAACGTCGGACGTCGAGGTGATACGGGTGGAATTTCGTATTCTGCCTCGACGTCCGATGATGAAACTCAGCTGCAGGTATTAATCCGAACAACTCCTCTGAACACTCTCCATGGTAAATGCGGTAGAAGATGCAGAGTGACCCCACATCTCTACGCAACGCCAAAGGATCAAGCCGCTCGGAGAGGGATTGGTCGTCAACGATTCGAACCGCTCTGCGCTGTATACGGTCAAGTGGAAGGAGCTGGTACTGGGGAGCCCCCGCCCAGAGGTGAGAGCAGTACTCCATGTGGGGCCGAATTTGCGCTTTATATAGTTGCATGCGGTGGCCCGGAGTGAAGTACCGTCTCGCCTTGCTGAGCACACCAAGCTTTTTGGAGGCTAATTTAGCCTTTCCCTCCAAGTGACCGCGAAACTGAACGTCGCTCGATATGTCAACGCCAAGTATTCCAATGCTGGCTGTGGCTTTAAGAAGAGTGTTTTCGAAAAGAGGAGTAGCGACAAAGGGTGTTTTTTTAGCGGAAAACGCGCAAACTTGTGTCTTCTTGGGGTTAAATTGGACTAGGTTTTGTCTGCCCCAATCTGAGACTCCACGAAGTAGAGTTTCAACTTCAGACACAAGTTTGTTCCGGTACTCATCAACAACTGCCCGAGAAATACCTGCCCGGCCAGTGTAAAAAGTATCCCCAGTACTGTCATCCGCATAGCAATGAATGTTGCTAAGTTTCAACATATCATTGATATGCAGAAGAAATAGGGTCGGGGATAGAACACAGCCTTGTGGGACCCCAGCGTTTACGGGTTTTAGGTCGGAACATGCTCCGTCGATGACGACCTTGATGCTCCGATCGGCCAGAAAGCTGGAGATCCAATTGCGTAATTTCTCGGGAAGCCCATAGGCTGGAAGCTTCGAGAGCAGTGCTCTGTGCCACACCCGATCGAAGGCTTTCGCTATGTCCAAACTAACCGCTAGCGCCTCCCCTTGGACTCAATTGCCTCTGCCCATCTATGTGTAAGGTATACAAGGAGGTCACCAGCCGAGCGACCACGACGGAAGCCGTACTGAGAATCGCTAATCAGCTGGTGGCCCTCTAGATACCTCAAGAGCTGGCTGTTAATAATGGTTTCCATTATTTTGGAGAACAAGGAGGTTATAGCTATTGGGCGATAGTTGGACGGATCAGAGCGATCGCCTTTTTTAGGGATCGGATGTATCAAAGCGGTCTTCCAGCACTTCGGGACAGTGCCGAGCGAGTACAGGTACCGGAAAAGGCGCGTTAAGACCGGAGCCAACTCAGGAGCACAAGTACGCAGCACAATTGGGGGATACCATCCGGCCCGCTCGACTTATGAATGTCCAAGGAAGATAGTGCTTTGCGGACAGCACGTTGCCGGAATGTGATTTCCGGCATCGAAGAATCACACCGCGAAATGGTCGGTGGTGATCTCCCTCGGTCATCCAAAGTCGAGTTAGACGCGAAGAGACAGCCCAAAAGGTCAGCCTTCTCCTTCGCAGTGTGGGCCAGAGAGTCATCCTCCCTGTGCAGTGGCGGAATGGCGGGCTGACAAAAATTCCCTTGGACAGCTTTGGCGAGAGACCAGAAGGCTCGAGTCCCTGATGGGAGTAGGGCCAATCTCTCGCCAAATCTGGCAATGTGCTCTGACTTTGCCTTAGTGATTTCCCGTTTGAAGGACCTGGAGGCTGAGTTATATGCTTTTTTAAGTTCGCTGGTATTGGCATCACGAGATTTCGCCGCTTCCGCCCATGCCTTAAAGCATTCTCGCTTTCGACGCGAGGCCGCCTTGCAAGAACGTTTAAACCAGGGCTGAGACTTGCCACCGATCGGCACCGCAGAAAATGGAATAAAGAGTTCCATGCCCTGCAGAACCACTTCGGCGACAGAGGCGGCGACGGAATCTGGAGCTTCCGGCGAAAAGCACATAGGCCCCCAAGGGTAGGACGCAAAGAAAGACCGCATCCCGTCCCAATCTGCTGACTTATAGTGCCAAATACGGCGACAACCCATAAAGCGGGGCCGTGAAGGGCGCGTAGATGGCACAGTACTCCGGACCACACAATGATCTGATGAACCCAATGGCGGGTCAACAGAGACTTGATAGTTCTCCGGATGAGAAGTCAGCAGAAGGTCCAACAAAGAGGGTTTATGACCATCCACATCTGGTATTCGCGTAATCGCAGGGACCATTTGTGTCAGGTCGTAGGCTAAAGCAAAGTCGTGAAAGGATCTTCCCGCGTGATCGGTGGTTTCAGAGCCGAGCCAATCGGCATGGTGGGCGTTAAAATCGCCAAGTATCACGATTTCAGCGGTAGGAACCCTTTCGAGCAGGGAATCTGTAGCCATTTGGATGTGCTCAATGAGTCGGTCAGTTTCGGTATTTCCGCTATGGGACCTATACAGGCATGCGTAGAATCGCGGATGGTCATCGCAGTCTACGCGCAGCCAGAGGTTAGATAGGTCCCTTCCTTCAAGCGTCCCGAGGCGACGAGAACAGATATCCTCTCTGACGTACACGCAAACTCCAGCCCGCGGCACAAATGAATGTTCCAATTTGTACCCCGGGTAGGATAGGTGGGAAGTATCAGCCGGGGAGGATATCTGAGTCTCGGTAAGAAAGAGCAAGGCCGGCTTCGCAGTCTCTAGATGATAGTGGACAGCGTTGATGTTAGAATTAAGCCCCCTAACATTTGTGAAGTCCACGGCGAGTGTGGACGGGGGTGCCTTTGTATAATTGCTCCGTTTGCCCCGAGGACGATTACTATTTTTGTAGAGCGCAGAATTGCCCCCCAGAATACGAAGGGCAGCCTGTGCGTCCACCACCGGGTGCTGAGTGTCCCGGTGGTGGACGCCCAGAGGGGGATTCTCCACCGCGAGCGCGTGTGGTACCCCCTGGGGTAGATTCTGTTTTTTCTGCACCTTCATATTTCTTGTGTGGGGGGGATGGGCTCCGGGAATCTCTCTCACCGCACGAAACGCGAGTACAAGAAGGCGAACCTTTTGCATCACTTCACGCCGGTTTTCTGAGAGACAGTGGTACTGCCCCGGTCGTGCCTGCCCATTTGGCTGAAGCCCGAAGGCAACAGCATGGCACTCCCACTAGGAAGGGGTTGACTGATTGCGCTGATGAAATAACCTCTGTCACAGGTTATTTCACCAGTGGGCGATGGGGTCGTCACGTCCCGACGCCTAGAAAAGTTGCCTGGAAGAGATCGCTCGAAAGCGATAAGGCCGCCAGTTGCCTTTCCTTTACTTGAAATTTTTATATCATAAAGCAACAAAGTGTAAATAAATAAATAAATGATGTTACGACTATTACTACCACGAGATCAGTATCTACGCGATTAAAACCGCGGGGCATTGCTAATAATAAATGAAATAAAAGAAATAAAAATATGTACATAAATATAAAGTAAATGTGTCTATAGTCGTATTTTTAATTAGACGAAGCCAACTGACAGTAGCTAATGTCACTTTGTAAAATAATGTTGCCATATTTAAAGTAATAGTGATACGTTCAGTTCTAGTTCAATCAGATGAATGAACAATGTGTGAAAAGTTAATCATTTCAAACTATAAAATAATATTATTTCTATTTTAAAATTGTATAAAAGTGCTCTGTTATAAGTTAGGTACTAGTATGTAACTACAATCAGTTTTTTGACAGCTTATTACAAAGCGCGGCGTGGTGACTAGTGTCATCACCGATCATTAATTCAGGAGTTTTTTCAATCATTCACTTTGTCACAACACTATTTTTATTTCATTAAAAACTGACAACACCGTAAACGTCAGTTGACTTCGTCTAATTAAAAATATGACTATAGAGTAATATATGACTATGTATTTGCGTGTCGTTCCCACGAGAGTGCACGTAAGTGCGTGCTCCTATTACACCATGCCTCCTGCTGATAGAGGACAAATCTTTGTTTTTAATTTATTTTACTATCATTAACTATATATAATATATACTTAAGATGTCATGTGGAACATGGTGTAATGGTTGCAGCTCCTTACAAACGTTGTGTAAAATAAAAAACTTGGCGATTAAAAAGAGTGGCGGAGAGTTTATTGCCAGTTCTTCTCTTCCGTTCTACGCCCTTGATTTGAGAACTGGCAATGTAAGATGAGAAGCATTTAATGTATATTTATTTTTTGACGTTCATAAGTGTACATTGCGTTACATGAATAAATGATTTTTGACTTTTATAATAGCTGTTATCTATCGCCATTGATAATGGATATTTATTTATTTTCTGGGCCCGCTATCTTTTCTATACCATCCTCCCATCTTCTTATCGGGAGGCAGGCTCCCATTCGTTTCCCACTTCGTGGATACCACTCTTCTTTTTTTGCTTCTTTTCTCTTATCATATGACTGTCCATCTCCACTTTAGTTTTCATGGAGTCTCAAATTTTGTTTTCATTTTAATATCCCTTCCTATATATTTTGTACTAAACTATTGATTCTTATTTCCAGCTTCTGTATACAACGACATTGCTTTATTGTTTTTGGAGACGGAGTTCACAGCAGCTGCAAATATTGGTATAGCCTGCCTGGCATCCGTCTTTCCCCCAGGAGAGGATTGCTACTCTATGGGCTGGGGCCGAGAGGCGCCGATCGAACGGCGGGGTTATTTCGTTGAGGTGCTGAAAAAGGTAATATGAGTTACAAATAAACGCAGGCCGCTGAGCAAACGGAAAATAAGGCTCAAATATGAGTCTTTCCTCCAACTTCGATTTTATTCCCTTTCGAGTAGAGACTCTTGGGCCGTGAGTTACAAGTGCTAATTAAAGATTTTAGTTGGCGCCTGGTAGAGTACCGGTGACTCCAGAGCTGATGCTTTCCTCGCTCACAAACTTTTAAAATCGTTTAAATTTTCTATTTATCATTTTTTTATTACTATTACTATGTAGGTTAGTTATGATACAAATATATTTAATCACTACACATTGAACATACTAGAGGCACCTGCCCTGCGATTCTGTAACTCACTTTTCGAACTCACACAGCGGTTTTCGCATCGGCGGTCGCTCTCAAATCAGTCCTGAAGCAGTCATTTTATGATTTGGCATTTTAAAAAGGTAGTAGCTTGTAGTTTATTGTTTATCAGAATGCCAAATCATAAAATGACTGCTTCAGGACTGATTTAAGAGCGACCGCCGATGCGAAAACCGCTGTGTGAGTTCGAAAAGTGAGTTACAGAATCGCAAGGCAGGCATTATTTAAAACTAATATAATACACGAATACGACAGTCCCTAAAGGATTGTGAAAATTATTTTCACACCAAGTTTGTGCCGATTGATTTGATTGCTTGATTAGCTATGCAAATTAAAGTATTTAAGTAGGTTTATTTTAGTATAATTAAAGTATTTATAATGTCAAAATATCATTAATCAAAATGTTATTTATAATATTGATTTGCCAAACTGTTTCAAGTAATTAAAAATATATTTTTATTACGTAAAACAATTTACTCATTACTATATTTTATTTATAATATATCTTCAGGTCCCACTACCTCTTGTGAGCGCAGAAAAATGTCAAAGTATGCTACGGACGAATTCTCGTCTTGGCCCATACTTTGAACTCCACAACTCGCTGACTTGCGCCGGCGGTGAAAGTACGGTTGACACCTGCGCAGGCGACGGTGGCTCCCCACTTGTTTGTGCTGTTAAAGTAAGTACTTTTTAACCGTTTTGGTTATACAAAGTATTGATTTTTGGAATTATAATTATTTATATAAAAAAATACAAAACTAAAACGCCTCATGTACATATAAATAGGAACCCCTAATCTCGTCTTGGGTAATTTTAGTGATATCTAATATATAAAATTCTCGTGTCACAGTTTTCGTTGCCATACTCCTCCAAAACTGCTCGACCGATTCTCATGAAATTTTGTGTGCATATTGGGTATGTCTGAGAATCGGACAACATCTATTTTTCATCCCCCTAAATGTTAAGGGTAGTCCACCCCTAAATATTTTTTTTTTATTTTTAGATTTTTTTTTCTGTTTTTATTTTTTTATGATACAGCCATTGATATACAAAAAACCCAAGATGCACAGTCTCGAATAAAAGTAACGCTCGAAAGTGTCCTGAAACACTATTTCTGTCCATAACAGTATATGTTACAAGCATATATTATTGCAAAATCAACCTTACGCGAATTGCTTAAAGTTGTTATTACAACGCAGTGTATACGTACTTAAAGCAATAAAATTTTACGACCGACCGTGGTCGGTAGGACAAGGTATTGAGTGGAGTCGAACATGACTTTTTTATTTACAACTATTTAACATAATTTTAAATTTATCCGACTTTTCGGGTGCTTTACAGCGTGAGTGGTCACGGTGACTGAAGACAAAAGGTGTTGGATGTTAAATAGTTGTAAATTTATAATAATACATAACATTAATCCGGTTAAAAAGTTTTTTCTTTAAATTTAAAAAAAATGTTAAATTGGCTACCTCCTGACCCACACTTTATATAGCGTAAATATATTTGTCAAAAACTACACACAAAAAAGTTCAAGAGTACATAAATTTATTTATAAAAAAAACACAAATAAATAACATCGACTCCACTTATAGACGCGAGACTATTTGAAATGAGCGCACAATTTAGAATGTTGCGCTCATTTTTTGAGGACGTTTTTTAGACGTTGATTGTGCATCTTGGGTTTTTGTATATCAATGGATACAGCATTAAAAAATACATACAAACCCCTAACTTTCAACCCTCTACGATCAACCCCTATTTTTTTATTATAAATGATATATATGGCAAAACGACGTTTGCCCGGTCAGCTAGTAATATATAAAATTCTCGTGTCACAATATTCGTTCCCATACTCCTCCGCAACGGCTCCACCAATTCTTATGAAATTTTTTAAGCATATTCAGTAAGTCTGAGAATCGGCTACTATCTATCTTTCAAACCCTAGATGAAATGGGGTGTCTTCCCCAAAATTAAAAAAAAAAGAAACATACAACCCTTAATTTTCATCTCTCTACCATCAACCCCTATTTTTTTTGTTAATTACAATCTTATGACCTGAACTCTGAGGTTTATATAGAGAACCGAACAGTCTCTGGGGTAGCACAGCAAAATGTTCCATGTTGGTATGTACTAAAAAGGTAGGCTAAGTAAAATCACATTAAGGAGAAACGAAGTTCGCGGGTGCAGCTAGTTATATCTTAATATATATAAATCTCGTGTCACAATGTTTGTCCTCAATGGACTCCTAAACTACCGAACCGATATCAATCAAATTTGCACACCATGTGCAGTTCGATCCAACTTGAGAGATAGGATAGTTTAAATCTCAAATTATAGTCGCAATTTTAATTTATTGCAAAATATTTGTTTATTATTTGATACAATTCTAACAGATGGCGCTGTGTTAAAATTATCAACGTTTCACATAAGCTGTCATCTACCTTTCACATAAGTTCTCCTACCGTTTCCCTTGAATAGTTTACTACTATGTAATATAACAAAAATCTTAGCCAGAGCAACACTTGGCCGAGTCTACTAGTTAATATATATAAATTACGTGTCACGTTGTTTGTCCCCTATGGACTTCTAAACTACCGAACCGATATCAATCAAATTTGCACACCGTGTGTAGTTTGATCCAACTTAAACGATAGGATAGCTTACATCTCAATTTATTCCCGCAATATTATTTTATTGCAAAATATTTTTTTATTATTTGATAGTCACAATTCTAACAGATGGCGCTGTGTTGAAAGTACCAACGTTTCACATAAGCTACAATTTAATGGCATAACCACCAAAAAACATGGTGGTCCCCATGGCTGGTGTTCTCCTACCGTTTCCCTTGAATAGTTTGCTACTATGTAATATAACAAAAACCTTAGCCACAGCAAAGCTTGGCCGGACTGCTAGTATCACATAATAATTAAATCAATTTTGTATCTGGAATCTATTATAAGTATTTTTATATAAATTTTCTAATATTTTACAGACCAGTGGTATTGAAAAACGATATGTGGTGACCGGGCTGGTGGCCTACGGGATCGGGTGTGGCAAGGAAGGTATACCTGGTGTCTACGTGAACATCCCACACTTGTACACCTGGGTAACAAACCAATTCGATCGAGAACATGTTGAGAAGAAGTTTGTTTTATAAATAATAAATTAGATTAGATGTACAAAATCTACATTAAAAAACGTGTATGTTACTTATGTACACGCGTTAGAAGTTATACTTCTTTGGCGCAACAAGATAAAAATCTTTTCAAAAATTTTAATCTGCGTTTGTAGAAAAAACGACACCAACAATAGAAAAATCTAAAATGTTGACTATAACTTCAGGGTGTCGGTTTTTTGACGGTGTGCGCGCGCATCGTAAAAATTTAATTCTTAGATAAGACAAGTTTGTTTTTGTTAGCGTCGCAACCCCTCTACCCGTAATTTTGTGTTAGTTATAAGCTTATGTTTTAAACAATTAAAGTCAGTTTTTTCCCAGCTTCAATCAAAGAGTTTTATTGAAACATCCCCATACAAAAACCGCCGCCGATCTTAACTCGAGTCTAAAACTGTAACATATAGGATTTTAACAAAAGACAGTCGTAAGTGCTGCCTCTCTTCTGATTCTCATCCTAAGATGATGTTGAAATGATCACAATAACTTAAACATGGAAATAAAATCTTCTTATGCATTATCTTCTATTCATTAACTCAAACTTCCATACTATGGATGGTTTTTACTATGCTATGGATATTTATTTTGGGTTTTAAGGAAGTCCAAGCGCAAGTATTATGTTGTTCTATTGAATTAGTCATAGAATAATTTTTTAAGCTATTGCATAGATTTTATCGCGGGCTTTGAGCGCGGCGACCGAATCAAGAAATTCCGTAACGAAAATAAAAACCTAACGCACGATGACCTAATATAGGTGCGGCCAATACGCGTTAGAGCGGGACAGAACGCATACTGCGTCTCACATCAGTCTGGCGTGATCGGTGACGTAGCGTAAGCGCGGCCGGTGCAGCCGGTGCAGCCGATACGGTTCCCCAAATGCCACACGGTTTTTTTATTATAATTTAGAACGTTGTTGAAGCTGTGCATGGTATTTTCATATTGATATGAAATAGAAACCTTATATGGTACGCTTTTATAAAGTCATTTATTCATATAGTCAACACAAAGTACACAAATATAAGTAAATTGTAGAAAATGCTTTAAATCAAGGGCGAAGAACGGACGAGAAGAACTGGCTAATAGTGTCAACGACATTCTATAAAGCGCCAAGTTTTTGAAGGGGAAACTTCTTTAGCATCGTTGTGATTTGAAAGTCGATGAAACAAAAAAGCGACAGTAAAATGAGACAGATACATACGTTCATAGGATTTAACGTGGGAGAAAAGGAGAGATTACATCAGGAAGCATTATACAGTGTAGATACTTTAAATTAGTGTGTATTTGATCATTTACTGGTTTAAAAAAAGATAAATGTGCAAAAAAATAAATTAGAGATTAATTTAATTAAATTATAAAATTAGATGAAATTTATCGTATGTATGTAAAAACTACAGTGACTAAAGTTTTAAATTAAGAATAATGATATAATTTTAATATGTAATTAGACTTTTTCAATATCTAATTTTACTTTAACTGACTAACTTTTCTTTAAATTATTTTACAAAATGTTTGTAAGGAGTTGCAAGCATTACATGATAATATATCTGTCACCGTAAAATTGTAAACACCGTTAGATTGTAATCTATCTCGCGAGATTGTAAACTGTCGAAAGATTGTGAACCTCAACGAACTGCTTACAATTTAACGTATTTTATTTTTCGTTTTTTTTATTATTCGGTTGATTGTAATCTATCGAAGTGAAACCGTCAAATTGTGAAGCGGCCATTTTCTACATTTCTATTGGTTAACAGAGATGTTACATTCTCGTTTTCTATTGGTTATAAGTGATGTGACATTCTCGGTAAATTAATCGAATCGATTATTTCCTCATTTGTTAATTTTAAAGTTGAACCTAATCGAATCGATTATTTCCTCATTTGTTAATTTTAAAGTTGAACCTAATCGAATCGATTATTTCCTCATTTGTTAATGATAAGTTAAACATAATTTAACCATTACTTGTCAAATGTACATACATTACATTAACTTCATGTTTCAATTAGTGTAGGGTTCCGAAAATTTTTTTTAAAAACGAAATGCCATTTTTTTGTCATCTTTAATTGTTTATAACTTTTGCAATTTTTTATGTGCTAATACACGCTTTTGGCACATTTTTCTAGACGTCATTCCGGATCCAATGAGCTATCGCACATAATTTTAAGAGCAGTATCTCTATTTTGTACCATTTTCAACTTGTGGACTAGACTACTGGGGCTTTTACCAAAAAGATAACGTTGAATAAATAAACAATGTTTTTAACTGACGCTTATCTCGCATTGGATATTCCGAAATGGCGGAGACTTAAGATACTATATAAATGTCGCAGTAAAGTTGTTAAATCAGAAAGTTAATTGAATCTCTATAGTTAATAATAGATTTAGCTTCAATAGACTAACACTTAAGTAATAAAATATAAAATAGACACACACCCACACACATACACATAATTTACACACACACACATACCCCATCTGGTTTCCTCTATATACTATATATTGTAATGTATTGTATTGTATCTTCTGTCAATCCGAAGTAGTGGAGGCCTGATGACCTGTAACACAGGTACTCTTACCTTTATCAGGCATCAGTCTCACACAGACTTGCTTTTTCCATTAACAGAAGTGAGAATATGACTGCCACTTGCCTATGTTCTAAGTTTAAGTTTTTGTGAGAAAAATAAATAAATAAATCTCTAGACAGTTTATCAAAGATCAATATTTAATCAGGTCGCTAGCATTTTGATTTAAATAAAGCAGCGTCGAAAACGTTTAACTATCTGTCTGACCGAAAACCATCGTTTTAAATTAAATAAAAAAAATTGGGGTGGTCACCCCTTATCACTTAGGGGTTTGAAAGATAGTAGCCGATTCTCGACTGAATATGCATAAAAAAATTCATAAGAATCGGTTGAACCGTTTCGGAGGAGTATGGGAACGAACATTGTGAATTTTATATATTAGACTAGCAGCCTCGGCCAAGCTTTGCTGTGGCTACGTTGTTATGTTACATTGGAGTAAACTATTCAAGGGAAACGGTAGGAGAAGACCAGTAATGGGGACCATGCTTCTTTGGTGGTTATGCCATTAAATTGTTCCGCCGTAATAGAGCCGCTCGTAAATAGAGCATTGTTCACATCGTCAAAATTTGTTATTTGTCGTTTGATTTTAAAAATCAAGGACTTGTTATCAGCAAACAAAACTATCTGATGTTTTCTCTCTACTATGAAAGGTAGATCATTTATATAAACCAGAAAGAGGAAAGGGCCAAGAATTGAGCCCCCATATCTACTGCCGACCCAGAGGACCTCTTACCATTCACTTCAACCTTCTGAGTTCTTATTATCTTATAATCACTTTTCAAACACACACAGGATGCCGTTCTCAAATCATGTGAAGAAGTAAGTAATATTACGATTTGGCATTCTGATAAACAATAAAAAAAACTGTGGTGCTACAGCCTCTTTAGGTCTGGGCCTCATAGATATTAGAAGCGACTCATGGCCATATGTAATACCTTTTCAGAATCCCTAATAAATGCGCCAAACCTTGTAACAGAGGGCCACTTTTCGGTAGACTAATTTTTTTTCACGGTGTAGAACCGGTGTTTCACCGAAGTAAACAAAAAGTTATGATTTGAAAAAAAATTATATCGTAAAACTTAATATTATCTTCAATAAACTCAATAAACAACTATAAATAGTATGTTTAATATACAGTAAAACTCTTTATAACGACATTTGTAATAACGAAAATACGAGAAAAATTATTTGGTTTAACCCAATACCCATACACTAAATCTTCGCTCCCTATAACTAAACCTCTCTATAACGTATAAAAATGCTCAGTCCTTTGAAATTCGTTATATAGAGTTTACACTGTACATGTTTTGTTTTTTCACTTAAAAATCTATTCATGTAATAGAAACCGTAGCAGATTCATATTCTTCTTTAAAAAATATATATTGTCTCCTTATTATTCGAAATTATTATATAAACTATAACAATTATTTTTGACCATCAGGTTCGGTTTTAATTACTTTTCCCTAAATTTTTAATCCACTGAAGTGTTCGGGCATCGGAGTCTGTTTCATAATTATTAGACGAAGCAACTTCTCTTATGTCGCCGTTTTTAGTTTCAAGGCCGTCTTCTCCCATGTGGTCGTCACTTAGGTTCATTTGTATTTTCTTTAGTCCAGTTAAAACGTTTTCTAACATTTCCATGTTAGTTTTAAGCAAATAGTCGACAGTTTGTAACAATACAACTTCGTTTTTCTTGGCATTGTCGTATTTCTTTTGTTCTTCGATGAGAGTCGACAATAACCGGGAGTTATCTTCTTCCCAAACGCGAAGTGTCATTTGATGTTCTTCAATTTTTGAAAGTAATGCTTCACTAGAGTCATCGGCGTAGCAATACGCGGCTAACAGGCAGAGTAGTAGAAATCTAGAAAAAACATTTGTGATTTACTAAAAAGACTGGTCAATGAAGATATATTTTGTATATTATATTTTTTCAACCTTTTCTACCGGTAAGTACAAAAAAAAGTTATTATCTATGATCCCACTTTCTTATATAGTGATAGCAAACGTCGTGAGGGAACTGGCATGATTTAGAACAGTGATTCCCAAAGTGGTCTATATCGACCCCTAGGGGTCTATGACAACCTACAAGGGGTCTACGTCAGCGAAGAAAAATTTGAGGGTCCATGAAATGAAAATGGGGGTTACAAAATTGACGCCAAATGTTGATAATTTATTGTTAAAGCATCGGGTTCATCCTTCTCACTAAAAATATTGACTTATTGCTTATGTTATTTTTTTTATAGTTTATGTTTATTTAATGATACGTATATTTTACATAACTGATACAAAATTTTATTTTGAGTAGTTTTAATTTAAATTCAATTAATAAATGTATAACTTAACATGTGTTTTTACTTTAAGTTTTTATCACTAAACTTCACTACAGTTAGAAATTTATACGAAATCAATATCAGGTAAGAAGGGGGTCTACCCAACACGGAAAAACATGGCAAGGGGTCTACGACACAAAAAAGTTTGGGGAACTCTGATTTAGACCAAAAGCTCGCAGTAAATATTATATGTATTACAGAATTTAATAAGATTAAAATAATGAAAATAAAATAGGCAAATAGATATAACGATTTGAAACCTAAAATCAAGTTTATAATTGTCAAAATTGAATTGAAAGCCAATTTTGTATTTGTCTGGGGATTCTACTATAATTGGCAACAGACGACGCCGAAATGTGTCAAGTTAGCTAATGCTACGCATAGATGGCGCAGAGATACAGAGTTAGAGGAAGTCAGTTCAGTTGCTTTAAAGATATTACAGATATTTGAAATCGATTATTTTAATTACTTTTATTGCCACCAGGGCCATATAGTATCCATCTGTGGATAATTATTATTACAATGAAATACAAATGATTGATCAATGACCTCATTGAATAAATACAGTTTGCAGAGTAAATTTATCTCCATATTTTTGTTTTTACTCTCCTTAAACTTAAATAAACAGCTATGACATTGCAAAAAGTCGAGCCTAAATCAATTATGACACTATTCAAGATTTTGCTTATAATCAAGTCTCTCTGGAGAATGAACCAACATACGTCAATTCTAATGCCCGCCTTTCACTGCGAGCGGAACGAACCCATTACGGACTCCGCTATACTCGTACCGATGATTTTCATACATTTTCATTTCCGTGGGAAACTCGGTCAACTCGCTAACCTCATATGTGACTCTTTCAACTCGCTCTCTCCGCTGCGCTCGTCTCCGCTTTGGTGGAAGCATGTATGAAAATCATCGTTACAAGTATAGCGGAGTCCGTAATGGGTCCGTTCCGCTCGAAGGCGGGCATAAGGGTGTTATTGAGAAACAAGAATGTAAACGTTTCTGGATATCAACCTCAGCCCGAGTCGAAAGCTAACGATATGTTTGCTACTGTTTAAAAAAAATAAACACTTACTTACTTCATTTTTAATTAATTCACGCACAACTCCACTTCAATCGAGATACAAGCGCTAACTATTTTATATCTTAAAGTTGTTACTCGTATTTAAATAATATACACTAGCCTCGGCTCCTTGGTTTAAATATTGATAACAATAATATATACATGTAATTAAAATCTAATATATAAAATTCTCGTGTCACAGTTTTCGTTGCCATACTCCTCCAAAACGGCTCGACCGATTCTCATGTAATTTTGTGTGCATATTGGGTATGTCTGAGTAGAGTGTCTTGGTAGTCCACCCCTAAATATTTTTTTTTATTTTTAGATATTTTTTTCTGTTTTTTTATGATACAGCATTAAAAAACACATACAAACCCCTAACTTTCACCCCTCTACGATCAACCCCTATTTTTTTATTATAAATGATATATATGGCAAAACGACGTTTGCCCGGTCAGCTAGTAAGCTATAATTGGGTTATACCGTAGCTGAGTTCACAAGAGTAGAAGATTTTATTATTATGTTGTAAAAAAATTGTATCATTGGTTTTTGAAGTCATACTTCTTTTTGCGCGTTAGGGAAAAATGATGAGAGTATTTTTTTTCTATTGTTATTTTCGTTTTTTCTACAAACATAGAATAGGGCGAAAGATATAATTTTTAAAAATATTTTTATCTTGTTACGCCAAAGAAGTATAACTTCTAACGTCTGTGTGTCTTCTAATGAAGTTTTCCAGTTTTCTAGTTACCAGCTACTATGGACTTCTATCGCTTTAGTCATACATAACTGTAGGTTAGCCTCCTGCCCGTTTTCCCTATTACATAAAAAAAAGGTATATTAAATGCAACTCAAGGGCGTTCAACGGACAAAAAGAACTGGCTTATCATCCCAACGTCATCTAATAATTTTTGACGGCTCATTGGTCTAGTGGTTAGTACCCCTGACTGCGAATCCATGGGCCCCGGGTTCGAACCCCGGCTGAGACAAACATCGATGTGATGAGCATTTGGTGTTGTACTTACGTCTTGGGTGTTTAAAATATGTATTTATATAGTATTGTCTTTGATTAACATAACTTTTATTCATTTAATAAAACACTATTTTGACCGGATTGAAGTTATGTATTATTATAAATTTACAACTATTTAACATAATTTTAAATTTATCCGACGTTTCGCGTGCTTTACAGCGTGCGTGGTCACGGTGATAATACATAACTTCAATCCGGTCAAAATAGTGTTTTATTAAATGTATTTATATGTCTATCTATCTATAATATGTATGTATATCCGTTGCCTAGTATCCATAACACAAGCTTCACCAGCTTAGCTTGGGACTAGGTCAATTAGTGTGAATTGTCAAAAAAAAAAAAAAAAAATATAGGATCTATAAAAAAACTGAAATGGTTTTTAAAACTTGTCATATAGGCTGCGCGGAATTTACGCCTAACGCCCAATAAAATATATTAACTGACATACACTCAGTGCATAACATTTTATATATATATAAGATACCCTGATTCATGGGCTCTTACCAAAACGATAACGTTAAAATAAACAATCATTTAAAGGTCGCTTATCTCGTGTTGGAGATTCCGCAATGGCGGACACTAAATAACCTATGCTACAGAAATATAAAAACCACTACGATAGCAAAGGTACTAGGATATGTATCCTTTATATCCTAAGGTTATCCTGATGAGTAGAAGAGAGATAAAATAGTGTTTGTCAGGTTGGCTGTAGATCCTCTGGGTTGGCTATTTATCATTTTCTATATTCGAGGCCAACGAGTAGCTCGCCGCACATCTTCAGCTTTAAGTCCAAAGTTCTCCTAGACAAATAAAACATTTCAGAAAGGACCTGTTTGAGTTTCAGTCTGACAGTTTGAGTAATTTATGCGGCCTACCCAAATGTCATCTGTCATCTTTTAAAACTCCTCTGTATAAACATTTCTTAACCTATCCTGATCAATCGTGACTTGTGTAATTCTTGTGTTTCCTTTTCTTTTGCATTGCATCACTATTCGCTGTTCATGAATCTGTAAGATTAGCTTTTAAGTTTTTAGTTTGTTATTAATATATGTATATTTTTTGTATAACTTAAGATTAATGTTCTATATTTTTTTATATAACATTTGGTTCTGCACTTCTCGCACTCATCATGTTTCTTTTTTTAGTTTTTCTCTTAACTAGGGTTGCCTGGAAGAGATCGCTTATTAGCGATAAGGCCGCCCGTTGCATCCCTTATAATTTTTATGTATTGTGTTATTTGTGTTTATTTTATTGCAACGAAGTGTAAATAAATAAAAATAAAACTAAATGTCTTTTCTTTGGTATTGTTCGTCGAATCGTTAAGCTCCTTAAGTTTTGAGTTGAGCTACACGATTACTGACAAATGCGTGCACTGACTTGACAGGTCCACTCAATCTGTGTGGTTCTTTCCTCAAAAGACCATTTCGGACTGCAATCTACATGGTCATCACATGATCTGACCAAGATTATGTCTGGACTTTAAAAGAGACCTCTGAGTTTGTTTCGGCGTTTCTTAGAGTAGTCAGATTGGAAACGTCGAACTCATCTAGTTTTAAAAAAAAAAGGGTGCGTGTACTTATATACGCGCGTAAAAAGTTATACTTCTCTGGCATTATTAAAAATAGTTTTTGATTGCATGCAAATAATTAATTACAATTAAATAATCAAAGACTGGAAAAGGAGTCATTATAGTCAATTAAGTTCAGTTTACATTTGAAAAATTAAATAAATAAATATTTATTATAATTCTCTTACATTAAGTGTAACATAAATTCTATTATTATTCGAATGTTATTTAATGTAAATAAATTATGTCCAATGCCGTAGCATCTTCCGTGGGCAACTTCATTCTGTTAATTTTGTGTAACGGTGCGCGCGCATCGTAAAATTTCACTCTCATACATTTTTCATAACGCGCCTAAAGAAGTATAACTTCAAAAATATGCTTGACGTGTAAAAGTGTTTGTACAAACCTACTTACAGAAAATAAATCGTTTATCATTTATCAGTTGGGGACATGAATATCTTTACTACTAAACTATGTACGTTTCTAAGTACTCAACATTCGGGTGGGGTTATCTGTCGTTGTCAACTTCACTAATAAGAATTTTATGACTTAAAAATTAATACTATTGACATGTTTATGCCAATGGAATGTAAATAAACATATTTTTTGAAATTTCATCATTTTCTCTCGTTATTTCGTACTTCAAACGCTACAAGAACAGTAAGTTTTTTTAAGACCGTATACAGATGTTTGTGTTTTGAAATGTACGTAAAATTACTGATTCTTTTTTTTTATATATAGAACTAGCTGGCCTGGCGAACATCGCACCGCCTAACAGTCTATTCTTTTTTTTTTTGAAGTGAAAACTTCTTTAGCGGCGCTGAGCACTTTTTGTATGGGTAAAAACTTTCAAACTTGCGTCAGCGTCACGTGATGCTGATCGAAAAAGCGTAAGATCGAGGGGAAGGGAGAGGAACTAGTATCTCCCACTCTTTCTACCGTGCCTGAGTGTGCTGCTCTGTTTAGGCGGCACAGGGCGCTTGCGCGAATGACCGTGTGTGTTTATGTACAGCGTCCCACGCGTATCCAAGGATGGTGACAGCTGATTGCTTGACTGTTGTGTAGTAAATACACTGTTGTGTATTCGTAAATGTGAATTGTTTAAATTATGGAAATCGAACAAAGTGAATCTATTAATGAAAAAAGTGATGATGAAGTAGTGAAAGCAAATGAGTACGGTCTTTATTAGACTCTTAAATAGGTTCGAATCAAAACTGTTTGTTTCTTACTTCAGTTATCATAAACCAATTGTATCAGTTGTAAAAATTTGCGATGATGATTCTGATAATAACGATGGTGTAAAAGTCGTCGAAATTATGGATGGATGTTGATTTTTCTGAGAGATGAAATTTAATGTAATATATAAATAACGATATAATATTATAAATAACAACATATAAATTGTCATATTTGTGTACGATAGCGCAATAAATAAACATTGTATTCTACCTCATAAATGATAGTACTTTTATACTTATAATAAAAGTTAATATTGAAGTTTTCACTTCTGCCGGCACTCCCGAAGTGCTCCCGTTGTTTTTTTAAATACTTATTCTGCTATTCGGGACACCGGTCTAGCTAGTAAGATAAAAAAAAGAAAGTTGATTAGACAACAAATACATTATGTCAAAAAATAAAAATTTACCTTCCCGGAACCCCTCCACTAACATTTGAACTTTATGGTATGGTTTCAAATTGACTTTTAAGTATTATTACGAATATTTTGTATGGGAATATAGAAAAGTGTTGTTTTTAGACATTTTCACTCATTTTTTTTTTTAATTTTTCTCTCCGTAAGAACCATCCTCGTACTTCAAGGAATATTATTTAAAAGAAATCTGACAAATCGGTCAAGCCGTTTTCATGTTATGTCGTGACAACGGAAAACGGGTTTTATTTTTATATATATTCACGAACTAAATCTGTAATATCATCACCAAAACCAAGTTAATTTAAAACTCTTATTAAATATTATCTAAATTATGAAAAACTAGTAGACTCGGCTAAGATTTTTGTTATATTACATAAACTATTCAAGAGAAAAGGCACGAGAATGCCAATCCACCATGTTTAAAAAAAAAAAAGGACGCTTATTGTGACGTAACTATAAAATTTTTCGACAATTTTTATAGATAGTGATGTGTCCTAAAAAGATTAATACATCATTTTATTCTATCATTAATAATTTTCGCAGCGCACACGATTGAAGGAAGTTTTTTGTTTATTTTTTACACCTTGGGTTAGATTATTCAAGTTTTAGTAAGCATCCCTAATTTATTTGAAAATGAAACATAGCCTATGTCACTCGGGAATAGTAGCTTGCCAACGGTGAAAGAATTTTTGAAATCGGTCCAGTAGTTTCGGAGACTATTCATTTCAAACAAACAAAACATCAAATCTTTCCTCGTTATAATATTAGTATAG